CCAGTCGCAGAGCAGGAGACTCATTAAGGACCAGCGCTGTATGTAGCGATAGGAAGTTTGATTCATTTTACTGAATTAGTTCTTTCGAACTATTCTGTTCAATGAATCCAATGCCCGATTCAACCGGTTTATTAACTAACCTCATGGTCTAAGCAGCTGAAGTTGGCTTCTACTTCGCCAGCTGCGTATTCAAATGTTGCCAGCCCACCTTAAATATCGCAGTAGTTGCATAAATTCAAATTGAAAGAAGCAGTTCGAAAAGAATCGGTTCAATAAGAACGAATCGAACTTTCCATCACTAGTTGTATGTTCAAATTAAGGTTAAAGCAGCATTAGTTAAAGGAGTGGTTCACCTATAAATCATTTCTGGGTCAACTGTTTATTTAAAGCATTAGGGTTCATTTCAATAAAAAAATGCAATTAAATCATTGCATGACTGCACTTAAACACACAGCACAAATGTGAAATTATGAAAGTTCTGAAAATTATTATTAATAAAAAAATAAGAAATGACACTGCACCACATATGTACTATTTTCACTGAGCTTGTATATTTAAGCATAGGTTAGTCATAAAACAACCAAGTTCTTGATATTTAACAATTTAACAAAATGAAAAGCTGAATAAATGATTAAACGATATCAAGAACTTCATCATTTATGACTGTAGCCTATGTTTAAATGTACAACATACAATATATAATATATAAAAAATAGTACATTTCAGCTGTATTGGAAAACCCGAAGCAGTATAATTTTTCAAAGAATATTTTGACGAATAATACTTTTAAACTTGTTCCACAGTCAACCTTGTCTAGACATACATTGATACTTTGTGTGTGGGGGTGGGAGGTGAGGAGGGAGTTCAAAAGTGATTGGAGAGAATATGCAAGTCCTCATTACATGTAGGAATTGGGTGAAGCAAAGGTCTTACAAAAAAAACAGAGATCTGCTCTTGTCCTGAGATGAAACCTGGGATGTCCAACATGTCTGCTGGAAAAAAACCTCGACAAATACCCAGATGCTCCAGATGCCTAAACCACGGCATTGAATTACCTGTAAAATGGCACAAACACTATTGCCAATGGAGAGAATGCCAATGCCATAAATGCACGCTAACAGAAATGAGGCAGCAGATCCAAGCAGCTAAGATGGCTGACCAACAGCTACAAGTACTGGAAAAGAATGCTGATTGTGTTTCAGTCCAGTCTCCCATGGGAGCTGACACTGACACCATGGCGTTGAAATCATCTTTGTTTGATACCTCATGTGCAACCACATCCCATGTTACTTCAGTGAACTGCTCCACTAAGTCTGTGGACCCTATGCGTACATGTGGACAATACAGTGTGGACAACTTGATGCCTGATGCCTCCTATTACGACCCTGTCAACCAGCCCTCCTCTGACCCAGCTTACTACAGCAAGTATGAACACAAGCAGTACCTGACACCAAATTCCTACTCCTTTGAAACCCCTTTCTTGAGCCAGGGCCTCTGCACTGTGGATTGGACCCCACCAAACGTCACCCTGGAGAACGGCACCTTCCTTGAATTGGAAGCACCAGTTTTGTCCTATGATGTTGCCCTGGCCAATCCTGAGCCCAAGACAGAGACTGTGACTACATCTAACTCTAAGTCTCAAACCTTCACTGTTCACTGGAAGTAATTTCCTCTACAACTAAAATGACCAGTTGTAGTTGTTAGTGAAATTAGCTGAAGTATCTTGTTCAACCTATAATGGCTAAAAGTCTATTCAGTGCCTTGTTATCTTGCCTATGTTGTTGCCTAAGTCAGCATCTGATAAACTGGTAAACTGTATGTACCAAATTGATCCTGTGAAGGTTTTTGTGCTTTATATCTTTTATACATTGTTGTGCCTTATACATGTTTGCAAAGTTGTTGCTAACCTGTAATTGTGGTGGTTGCTAAGATGTTGTTAGGTAAGCCAGATGTTTGCTAGGGTGTTGCTAAGTGATTGCTGTAGTATTCCAAGTTATCGCATGAGTGTTCATAGAGTGTTTGTACTCTATGAACACACACATGTATCTTATATGTAAATAACACATCAAATACATGAACAGAATCACCGCCTTAGTAAGCTGCCCCTCGCTTTATTCCTAGCTAATACAATACAAGAGCGGGAACAACTGAGTATCTCTTAGGAACATGTTGCACACTCCATGATATCACATTAGCCAGTGTTTGCTAACTTCAACTATTGTCTATTAGATTTTACTAGTAATATGCAATATCAGGTGTCGGGTAAATACATACATAATACATATATACATAATGCCAACCACTTCAGCAGAGAAGTGCTGATGTAGAATCTGAGATCAGCCCTAGATCTACTTCATGTAAACTCCTGGGGTTGTGCAGAGATATGATCTAATATATATTTATAATTATAATATGAATACCTATTAATAATAAAACTATCATTGTTAATAAATATTAATATTAATACAGGTGTACAGACTTTTGTAAAAGAATGGGTTGTTCTAAAGAGCTCACTGAATTTGAGTGTGGTGCTGTAATATGATGCCACAGTTACAACAAGACAGTTCACAAAATTTCTTCCCTCCTAGATATTCCATGATCAACTGTGAGTGGTATTATTGAAAAGTGTAAGCCTTTAGGAACCACAGCAACTCAGCCATGAAGTGTCAGACCACGTAAAGTTACAGAGCAGGTCGCTGAGCGCTGAGGAGCATAGAGCATAAAAGTCTCCAATGCTCTGCTGATCAATAACTGCAGAGTTCAAACCTCCTCTGGCATCATCAGCACAAAAACTGCACCGGGAGCTTCATGGCAGGGTTTCTATGGCTGAGCAGCTGCATGAAGCCTTACATCACCAAGCACAATGTCAAGCGTCAGATGGAGTGGAGTAAAGCTCTGCCACTGGACTCTGGAGCAGTGGAAACGAATTCTGTGGAGTGACGAATCAGCTTCTTTGACTGTCAGTCTGATGGACGATAGTCTGGGTTTGGCGAATGCCGGGAGATCATTACCTGCCTGACTGCACTGTGCCAGCTGTAAAGCTTGGTGGAGGAGGGATAATGCTATGGGGCTGTTTTCCAGGGGTTGACCTAGACCCCTTAGTTCCAGTGAAGGGAAATCTTAATGCTTCAGCAGACCAAGACATTTTGGACAACTGTAGGCTTACAACTTTGTGTGAACAGTTTGGGCAAGAGCCTTTCCTGTTCCATGATGACTGAGCCCCAGGGCACAAAGCAAGGTCCATAAAGGCATGACTGGGTGAGCCTGGTGTGGAAGAGCTTGACTGACCCTCACAGAGCCCTGACCTCAACCCCATCAAACACCTTTGGGATGAACTAGAACAGAGATTGTGAGCCAGGCCCTCTCGTCCAACATCAGCGTCTGACCTCACAAATGCTCTTCTGCATGAACGGGCAGAAACTCCCACAGACACAAGAGTGGAAGCTGTTATAAAGCAAAGGGGGACCAACTCCATATTTAATGCCTATGGGTTTAGAATGGGATTCATAAAAACTTCTGTAGGTGTAATGTGTAGGTGTCCCAATACTTTTGTCCATATAGTGTGTGTATACATATATTTAATAACTGAAAGTTAAATTCCAACATGAATTCAGCTCGAATAACATCTCAAATGTTCCTATGTGTGTGTGTGTATGTATATATATATATATATATAAAGACTCGTACTAAATCATTAAAAAAAGGGGTCTGACTCGGTACAGTGCGGATATACTGGATGGAAACGACACGTTTGAATCAACAGATTGAATCAACAGAGTCGATTCCATTGTCTGAGACTCTCAATTCTGTTGATTCAATCAAGTCACCTTCAGGAGTCCAATCCATTCAGCTATTCGTTAGCGATGGAAAGGAGTCGACTCGAAGGGTTCAACAATCGATTCCTAGATTCAGAGCATCAAGTCGTGCGTAAACAGGCTCACGCTCCTACTCAAAAATCGCTAAACTACCTGCTGCAATGTACTTTAGCGCTTTGGTTTAGTAAATCGCCATGTTTACAGCTTATTTGTCGTGATTTGGTCAGATTTGTTCCGGTGTTCGGTTAATTAAGGATTTAATCATCACTCTTCAGCCATTTTCCAGTGCTTTAGTCTTCATAAGGTAAGAGAAATGGATTTAATGGCTGCCGCTGCGCAGTGTAAGCTTGTTGTACTTCTTTACGATGTGCACATTTGTTTTGTGGTTGTTGTTATGTGGTATTTATGTGCTTTTTATGGTAATAATGTGCTTTTTGAACTTTAATCACGGTTTGAGTCTGCAGCAGCGGTTGTGGTGAAAGTTGTGTTGCTGTGTCTCAGCATTTTAAACTTATCTGGCGGATAGTTGTCATTCATTTATTTCAGTTGTTTCGTATGTCGTCACTGTTAATGTACTGATGATGTACTTTTGTTCATTCGTGGGTGAATTTCAGTCCATCGCGAACAAAGCTCGGTATTTCAACTGACGGAGGTTTCAGCCAGTCAGAAATGGTGATTCTTTTTGAGGGCTGCGCTCGGGCAGCAGAGCAGACTCCTTACCCGTCCATACGGAGCGGTCTCGAACGTGATTGGCTAGAGCCTCTGCTGCTCAGCCGCTATTGGTCAGGCAGCCTTGTAGGCGGGCTCTTTCTACTCAACAGGTTCTGACGGTAATGGCGGCTCAAAGCGGCTAGGCTGTGCTCATTGTTAAAGCACTCAAATGAACAGGGAGGCTAAGAACTGTGATGGATTCAGTTTTCTGAGGCTCTCTGTTAAAGTTAAAGGGTATTTCAGCACAGTCCGACGAACGTTCGGTTGCCAGGATATGTTTAATAGTACATATCTAGCTGTTTAATAATCCACTCAGGTAATTTGAGCGCTGTGCTTATGCAGGGATTAAAGGGGGCACCAGTAAGCACTGGTGTGTGTGGCAAAAATGCGTTTTCGGCATTAAGTGAGGACATCTGTGAAAATTCACCAGTATTATCAGGAGGCTAAAGGGAGATGATCACAATGAAAAAAAAAACGAGGACCGGCAAAATGTCCTCACTTCCTGAAAATATTCTCAGTCGAAAGGTTAAAAACTCGCACTGGTCCTCACAAGTATAGTGAGACAAACACACACACACACACACACTCTGCTACCACACCCAGTCTTCCGCATACTCAGTCATCGCCTTCTTTCTGGCTCGACTTTACTGAATCTCAAATTCATATCTTACTCACATTATTTCCTGGAGACCCCCCTGATCCACACCTAAAATTATAGTAAGTATACTATTTAATTATGTACCAACTCTTTGTTTTTATTGTCCATACTGAGCTCCAAGTCGGCTAATTTGTTGTGGGTTAGGCAAGCCGATTGTCATAGTGACACATAGTGTAGAGTGTTTAGTGGTTCATTTATATATGTTAAAGTTTTTTCGTATATATGTCTTTTCATCATCTTTTAATATGGTCCTTTAACTGTATTTACAGCACAGTTTTTATGGACTTATTTTAAGCTTGACTAACACAAAATAAATAAAATTGGAAAGCCCAAATGCTACCATTATTTTTGAAAATAAGGTGAACAGCACAACTACATACTGTAACACTTAGAAAATATTACAAAAAAGAGTGTTTCAATTTATAGTCCACTAAAAACTAAGTGTGCTACTGTTCACAAGACTTTGAACTGAGCTCACATGACTGTTCTTTGAAATCTGAACAATGTGAGTAACCTGAGTAAATTGGTAGCAGTATGTGTTGATAAAGGATTCTCAGTTATCTCTGACACACTTTTTAATGTAGATTTTTACAGGGTGTAAACTGTATATTAGTTCTTAGAGTGACCCAGTTTTTTGTCCTTTAATGGGACATTGAACCTATTGGCCAATTTACTGCCAGTAAAAATAAGAATAACAATAAAGAAAAAAAATCTTTAAAACATAGTACAGTACAATACTGTGCAAAAGTCAGAGCCAAACCATTATTTATTTACACTTTTTCAATCTTCTCTATTCCAGTTTTGGAAACTCTTGTCTTTTTCACGTGTTTTCCTTTGGATTTTCTCTTTCTTATGGAAGTGGATAATCTCTAATCCCCCCCAGACATTCATAATTTACACTCAGTGACCATTTTGAATGGAAATGAAATGAAGAGTGGTCTATGATTTTTGCACTTTGCTGTAAAGTGGAATCAAAGTAATTTGCCACATCAATGCATTATACTATGTGTATTATCCGCACTAGATCCATTTTTGCAGAACTTAAAGATAGTAAGATCTTAAAAATAGTATATTTATAATAACAGTATATTTATAGTAAGTACCTTAATTAAATGATGTATAAAAGATTAGCTTAGGAGCTTGAAAAGTTTCTCAGGTTAGAGGTTAAATGACTGTAAATTGTTGAGTGCAGACAACTGATAACCTGGAATATTTTTAGCCATATGTAGATGTTTTCTATAAATGTAACGTAGGTATCTATAAATTTAAAAATATTCTTTGGAACATGTCACTCAAATGCTGGGAATAGAAGTTTTGTATTTTACACTGTTATGTCTACTTAGCTTTTTGTAATGCACACACTTAACAGTAGTCTAATTACTGATGTAAAGCAAGCAGTAGTTTGCAGCATAATCCAATCTGCTTTTTAGGAGCACTTCCCACTCTAAACTAACTAGTGTGCTTTTTATAATGTACTTAAATATATCTGATGTATTTAATTTTATCTCCATAAGCCCAAAAATCTGTCCTTCTGAATTTCTTTCTAAAACTTGACAATTTTTGAAACTTTTCTACATTATTTAGTTGACAATATATCACTATAAATTTGCAAAATAAGTGCAATAAACTTGCAAAATATGTATTATTTTGGATTTATATTATATTGGATTTTTACATAAATATTTCTTCTACTATGTTTTTCTTTATTTCTTAGGGTGATACTCTCCAAATGAATTACAGAGGTATTTGTTTACAATCTCTAAAGATCTAGAATAAGAAATAACCCTTTGAATTTAGCACTTCAAATGTCTTCATGCTTTATTTCCTTACAGGGGATAAAAGAGCACTTGAAAATGACAACATTTCTACTCCACATGGGATGCCTAGAAAACAAAAAAGGTGCTCCAGCCCTGACAGGACAGGTGCTGGTAAGCTTTACATTTTGCTGCTGTTAAATGCTGAAACTATTCCAGAAAAGACAGTCAAAAAGGAATTCTTATAGTTTTCCTTAAAGCTTTCAGCTTATCATTGATTCAATCTATATTCCTTTGTAAAAGCCTACATTGTCTCAGGCCAGAAAACACTGTCCCTGTCCAAAAAAAAACAAGTATCTCCATTTTTTCTGCATAACCTGAGTTCAGCAGCTGTCCTTTTCATTATGTGAAAATGACATGATAATAGAAATACAAATGCTCCAGTATTGCTTCAAATAAAATTCACATTAACTTTCATTAAAAGCAAAGAACATTTTGCCCTCTTCTGTAAAGTTACCATTTTGGAGACGCATGTTTTTTCTTCGGGCAGAAATTATATGCATATGATGAATGGGTGTGTTCGTACTTCACAGTGAAAACGAGATGCAGATCTACAATGCATTGCAAGCTGAAATACAGACCCAAAAAACCCCCACAAAAATGCAAAAAACACAAAAACCCAAAAAAGCCCACAAAAATTACAAAAGATCTTCTCAGAAGATTAAAGGAGAAAAAACAACAGGAACAGTCTGAACAACACTGACCATACAAATAAACAGATTTACAATACATTCCAATAGCAAGCAGGTTTATACATGAAAGGACATACAATAAGAGAGCATTACTCTAAACTGCCATACACAGTTGGCAACCAGGTGAAATAGTTTTCAAGTACCTCTTGGTGGTGGTGTAAAGTACTTCACACTGAGCAAAATGGACCAACACTGCCCTCTAGTGACATGCCAATGACAATGGCAAAACATCTGCAATCTGCCAGATTAGGGTTGCCAAATTGATTTTTTTAGCCACAGAGATACAGATAATTTTGTTTTAACTGGCCCCAGACACTGCCAGAAATCAGCACAATTAAAATCATTTCATCACCGTTTCAATATTACAAAGGAACAGTAATGTCAGGTAACATACTGTTAATATGAAAATATTCAGTGGAATTTTGCTTAATTCATTTGAAGCAAGCAAAGTGTAACTTCAGCAAAGTTGCTACAGCACACAAGTCAGTGTGATTGAATGTCTGGAGGACTACCAGGAATAAACACTACTACATGTACAACATGTATCAGCACTAGGTATTTTGGTCTTTAACAGTGCTACAACAAGCAGCTCTACAAACACATAATCAAAGCGCTAACAGCCAAGCGTTCATCACAGCAGGCTAAAAAAAACAATAACTCACTACAACCACAGACTAAACCACTTCTTCTTCAGAGGCAGTGCCCTATCTCCTGACATTTGATTGTCTTCCATTTTGATTCATACTTACATTTTCACTCTTATACCAGTTAAAAAAATAACTTCACACCAATAACTGATGTAATACCTCTCATCTGTTATGTGAGTTCATTTTCAATGTTCATGCTTAACAGAAGAGAGAAGTCTGTCCCCCTCAAAGAAGCTTTTTCAATATGTCAGGAACAGTAACCTCAGTAATAGCACCATTAAAGGTGGTCAATATGTCAAAAATATCATATCAAGATACTTTTCAGACTTTTTACTTTTAGACATTTTTCACAAGGCACTTATCTTATATCTTATGCCTTATCTACCTTATCTATGTCAATAAAATACATACATACACACACACACACACAAACTAAACTCACAATTTTAACGTCACGTTCCAGAAACTACAGAAAATGTGTTTTTGTTTTACCGCCCCCATTTTTGACTTTTCTGCAAAACGGCAAAACAGCTGATTTTTGCAGATCACTATACGTATCAAGAGCAATTTAGTTATCAAGAAACACTCCAGTGTGATTAAATGCATATACGGTTTTCCAGTCCATTTAGCTAAGACCATCTCCAACAGAAAGGTTTCTAGAAGCATCTTTTGACAGAGATGGACTCCATGGTGGGAACCCAGCAATAGCCAAGAAAACTACTGAGTTAAAAAAACAGGTGGATATGTAGCAACTCTCTGGTGCTATGAATATTACCATTACACAATTATTCTGGACTGACACAATGTAGAAAAACTAGCATACTCTACACTCTTAAAAAAAAGCTTCTTCAAGGGTTTTTTAGTGAAAAAAGCACCATCTTTTTAAAGTGTGTATACTTGTTTCTTTTAGTCTACTTGCACTTGTCATCTTTTCCATTTCAAAATATGTATTTGTGTTTTTTTAGTAATCAGAAATGGCAAAATGATTATGGGACATGTGAAACATAAACTCAGCGAATACGAATTTCAAGACACCCCCACGAACAAGCTCATTGAATATGTCAGGTACAGTAACCTCAATGACAGTAAAATTGGAGTGGGCAATATGGCAAAGATAGTATATTACAATGCTGTAAGACACTGTCACAATATGTAATACGCATCACAATATTCTGACACACACAAAGAACTAGTATTGCCACATTTAAAAACTGCCAACAAAACTCTGGGTACAATGATTTTTTACTGTACATTTCGCATACTATACCACACTAAATCCAACTAAACAGGATATTATGCATTCTTTATCAAACATGGAGTTGGTCAGCATTCTTTAAGTACTGACAATATCCATGATACAGCCACAAAAGTGTATAATTTATCACAATAACAATAAAATACTGTCATATTGCCCACCTGTAAGTGTTTTATCACTACACTAAAGAAGGTACAGAATATTTGGGTAACACGTTATATTACTCATCACATAATGAATCATTAACACACACACACAAAATGCGTCAGGAGTCCTCTAAATATTCTCATGCATGTTTTATTGCAGAAGCTGTAAATTATTACTGTAATAACTAACTATGAATATTGATATTATTGAAGATGCTGATACAAGTTTCATGTTGGAAAGACTAAATGAGGCAAAGAGGAAGTGTTTCCAAATAGTAACTGTTTATTTTTATGCATTTTGTGCACAGGGAAATAATCACAAAATTGGACACCACTGTAAAAAGGAAAACTACTGTTGGAGTGTTTGGAAAGACAGGGACTGGGAAGAGCTCTCTGATAAACGCCATCCTGGGAGAAACAGATCTGTTACCATCAGGAACCCTGTGTGCCTGTACTTCAGTCATCATACAGGTTGGAGCCAACGTAAAAGACTTCTTCTACACCGCTGAGATTGAATTCATCTTAAAAGAGGTACACAGGTTATAAAAACGTTTCCTCACTGTACATGCCTGTCAACAGGTTTCCACTGGACCAAAAGTCAACACAATCTGGATTCATTTACTTAAGTTCTTTAAAATATGTTTTCTACATGATAACTGTTGAATACCATTATGTGGCTGTTTACAAAATATGTATTAAGCACATATTAATTAATAAACAGAATTTAATGTTCATTCTGTAAAATATACAGACCACATGCACCTCACCTTGAAGGTGGTCAAGACAAAGGCAGAAACCAGGCCAGACAGTTTTACTGTCTCCAACCCACGAGTCATGGCAGATCTCACAGTGTTAACATATTAGATGTACACGTTTCAAAGACACTGTTGAATGAACATTGTGTGTACGTAAAGGGAATCCAAGATATATCATTTTATTCAGAATAAATCTGAATCTGCATTTTTACTAGTCTTTTTGGGCCAGACATGATCTTGTCACAGGAACACACGTTTGAGACAAATTGTTAGACTCTCTTTTAGCCCATCCTCTTGTCTCCAGGGCTGGTTTTCACAAAGCAGTCCTTAGTTAAAGCACTGATCTCAGATTAGACTCCTAAGTGCTTATGACAGTCACAAAACTCATTCTTTATCAACCTTCTTACTCCTAAAGTTGTTTATGAACCCTGGAAACAATCACTTGTGGCCCCACAAGACTTCGACGTTTGCAGCTATAATCCCTAAAGCTCAGACCAAACATTCAACCAATGTACTCTGTAATTCTTCTTTGCAGTTCTGTCCATTTTTTGTTTTTTAAGAATTCCTTCACCACCTCCACCCCCCTTAGGAAAAGATGCCTCTGACTGTGTTACAAAAATTATTTTCTTCAGGAATGGGAAGATGAACTCAAGACACTTCTGAATGTTTTATCAGAAGATGGAGAGGAGAAGGACAACGCAATCTTCAGTACAGCAAATGAGAAGATTACAGCAATGTATGGAGAGGAAGGTGTTTTTATGACCATAGATGACCTCATGAAAGATGATAATTTCTCAGAAATTCCAGAGTTTCTCAAATCTCAAACCAAAAAGATAACATGTGAGAAAGTAAGTCAATGTGGAATTTTTGTCAGTCTGCAAGTAGTTAAATAGAGTAAAAGTCAATATGCTGCATTTATAAATAAGGCACCTCTTATGTGTTTATGTCTGTGCTTTGTGTATTTAACATCAGGCCTCAGATCTCTCTGACCAGATAGGGTGTTACATTCAGCATGATGACTCAAGTCCTGGAGGATGTTACTGGCCGGTAGTGAAGAGTGTGACCATCAAGGTTCCACACTGTAAAAATTTTCTGGAACACATTCTGTTAGTGGATCTTCCTGGAACTGGAGATTACAACAAGAGCAGAGATCAGATGTGGAAATCGGTAAATACTGCTATTTTACAATAAGGCCAAATGGTCAAGATTAAAATGTTAAATGTAGATTATAACCAGAGGCTAATAGCCCTTTGATACTGCAAAACTGGATATAATGAAGATCACCAAAAATCAAATTTGCACAACTTTTCACTTACCCCAAATGAATAAAATCAGCTAAAACATGTCAACTTTAGACAAATGTCTAAAGTTTGCTTTGGACACTTTACATAATCAGGTCATAACAAATGCAACTGATTTGCCTTCACTGACTCTTACCAGCCTAAACCATGAAAAACAGCCCCAGACCATTATTTCTTCCTCTAGAGTCCAACGGAAGTGTGCTGTATACCACTCCTAACAAGTTTCTGCATTGTGCATGGTGATCTTAAACTTTTGTACAGCCTCTAATCCAGGGAAACCCAATCCATGAAGCTCCCGATGAACAGCTCTTGTGCAGATGTCATTTTCAGTTCTCTGTAATATTTCTTGATGTTTTATAGAAACTGAGAGAGTGTTCTACAGCGTGGATCGTAAGTGAAATAAACCGTGCTGGGTCTGACAAGGAGGCCTGGGAACTTGTTTCTAACAGTGTGGGAGACATGGCACAAGGTGGAGAGTGCCGCAGTATCTGCTTCATATGTACCAAGACCGATGACATCAACCCACAGAACTACATGAGGTCAGTAACTTATAAAATAACTTAATAAATATGTAAATATTTATATGGCACTCCTAAATACGTAACTGCCAAAAGGTGCCATTCCTAGGAATGATACCATAGTGTCACTAATTCTGATAGGTAGGAGATATTTTTACAACATAGAGAGATGCTAATAAGCCACAAATCAACACAAGTATAATGCATTCATTTTGATACACAGCTACACAGTCTAAGCCTCGCAGCATGACTGACATGCTTTCTGAAGTCCCTTCAGTCATATTAACTTTACATTCATGGAAGTTGTTTCATTATGCCACCTTTCAAATGGATGATTCTTAAAAGAATCGTTTTTGTAATTGTGTGAGAGTGTGAAGAAACTTTTTAATTTTACTTAATTTTATCATTAAAGGAACCTCCACAAAGTGTAAAAGTTCTATACTAATTAAAGTTTTTTTTTTTCTCTAGAACCATACATCAAAGCCAAAAAAACATTTATGAAGACTGTACTGTTCTTTAAAAGCATCCTTCACACACGCACATCTAATTACAAAAATCCACTGCAAGGTTCTTTCAGGAAACAAAAACGGTTCTTTAAAGGCATCTCAAGAACCCATGCACTATATTAACATTAAATTGCAGCTTAAATGCACACAGCTCTGTTTTAAGTATATCTCCAACATTGGTGCAACTGAAATTTACATTTTTATTAATATTATAAACAAACATTTAACATTTAGATCCTCAAAGCTCAAGGATGAAGACTTTCAGATCAAACCAGAGGTAATAATAATATAGTTAAAATCATTTAGAAACATTTTTACGGAAGTCCTTTAAGTCCTTAAAAAACTGCATGTCTTTTTACAGGACTCCCAATATGCCAGCAAGAAAAAAACTGCATGCATATTGCACAGGAATGCTAAAGCCAAAGAAAAAGTGAAAAAGAATTTCCTTCAACAAGACACAATAAAGGTATTTAATTCAATTGCTTTACATAGCCCACATTTTCATAGAGGACCTATTTCCATGCAGTAGTACTGTAAAAGCACTTATGACTAAGGAGTAGTATAGGAATATGGTACTTTATATTGCTTATTTAAGCAAGTGAACAATAAATGGATAAATTAATTAAAGAACTCATATAATGGAAAACAAAATTTCCTCACCTTTTAAAATAAAGGAGTTTCATGTAGTATGTACAATTAAATTACACACTAAATTTTCAAAACATACCATTTACCACCAATAATAATAAAATACAGGCAAAGTAGGCAGTAAAATTAGAATGTTTTTCATTTCTTGTTTTGTCACGAAACCCTAATCATTTCAATATATCCCTCTATTCAACCTACAGCAGTGTAGCCCAACCAGTCACTCTGAACATATCAGAAGTCTTTCAGCCTGAACTACTACCCTTCGGGGGGGAGGAAAAAAGTATAATACAGTGTGTGTCCTTAGATTACTAAGACAAGATAGAAAAAAAGATAGATTTTTTTTACATGGTTCAGTCTAGGTGACTTGGCTTTATCTTTTAAGGAACATTGCAAGCTGTTTAAGAACTAATCACAATGATGGATATGGAAAGAGTCTACAAGGGGCAAATTTGAGGACACTACTATAGACCCTATTCTCATGCCTATATTCAAGTGATTAATTATTATTTTTGGAAATATATTCTCTCAGGATCAAGTACATAAAAATGAAGGATCGGCAACTCTTTGAGTGTAGCAGTTTGGTGATGACCCTGACCGTTATCACCGAAAAAACCATCACAGTGATAAATATGGAAACAGTCTGCCAGAAACTTATTGAAACCAGGCTAGTGTACTTATCATAGTAGACAACTGCATTTTGAACTTTTTTGGTTTCAATCATAAATTGAATGTTAAATTACATTACCTTTATCTATCAAATGTTATTCAATAAAAAAAAAAACTATATAAGCAATATGTTTAAATATATGCAACTTATCAGATGTACTGTTATGAATTTAGCAAAGAATTAATTACTCTTAATTACTAAATAATCTTAATTATGTAGTAGCTTGATCTCTGAACAGTTAAAAAGCAAGCATGGATTTCCATAATGAACACAAAATGCTATGAGTTTTGATCTATGCCTGACGCTCTTTCAGTGGTTTTCCTTTTTATATTCCTGCGCTAGACGCATTTCGACTGTGATGATGATTTCTTTTCTGTGTTCACGGTGAGTTCTGAAGAATTCACCAAAGAAGATCCAATACTGAAACCAGAGGAAACAGGTAAAGCATAAGCAGTTCTAAACTGACCTTATAAATTGACACTGATAAAATACTTGTAGTAATACCAGTAGGGCTGCATGACATTCTCTGATCTGACCATATCTAGAGATACCTAAGCTGAAGGACCTCTTAAGGACGTACAACAATAGTCACACAAATGACATGGCGAGTCAATACATCTCTGGAGCACTTGGAATCCTCTCCTTAATTCAAGGTTTCAAGGAGATCAATGCTGCAATGGTAATGATACCAACAGTCCATTTGCTACAGCCATAAAAGCAAATGCATATTTATATGAATAAACAGTCTCAGTGTAAGTCACATAAAAACAGGAGACGAATTAAAGGAAAAACCTGAATAAGTCAGTTGATAAACATAACGAGTGCAGATGCTTCCAGACAGATGTACTGCATGACACAATTAAGTGATTAAGAACAGAGAGCAACTGTTTCTCAGGTCAAGAATGTCAATAAAGGATGTGATCAGATTGCGCCAACAAAAACATTTTATCCACAACTACATAGAGGGATGTTATGGCACAAACCACTTTAGGTCACTGCAAAACATTACATCTAACATTCTAACTGATCATCTTTATCCTAAGATGAAACATTTCTATCCTGATAGGAGTGGTCTCTACCAGGATGACAATGCCCAGATCCACAGGGCATGAGGGGGTCACAGAGCATAAAAATCATATACTATGGTCACCAGATCTCAACTCAATTTAACACCTATGTGAGATTTTGTGCTGACACGCTAGAGCTCTCCAACGCCATCATCTAAACACCAGCTTTTCTCTCCAATACAGTTTCTGAGACTTGTAGAATCTATGCCAAGGTGCACTGAAGCTATTCTGGCAGCCTGTGAGGGCCCAAATCCCTTTTCAAGACACTTCATGCTGGTTTTTCCTTTAATCTGTCACTCATCTGGTATTTCCATTCTTCATGTTTTATAGAGCAATCAAGACAGATTTGGACAGTGATGTAATTTTTTGTTGCTTTGAATCTGAAATGCAACATGAAGATTTTTTTTTGTAAAAAAAAAAGTAATTTGAGGACTTCACACTCAAACATTTAAAAATGGTATGAGGTTCTTGAACTGTTATGACAGTTACCTAATCATATTTTTGATGGTGCTTACATTAATCAGCACAAAGGAAACAATGTCTTGGCATCCCATTTTCACCCATTTTAGTCTTAATATCCCATTTTAACAAAAAGAGCTGTACACTGAAAACCAAAATGGATACCCTCAAACTGTTGTAATACCCTTTGTATTTTAGATAGCAGAGAGGTCCAGACTACACCATGACTTGGAGATAAATCTTCACAATGCACTTGGACACTTGCACGAATGCTGTGGCCAAATCTGCAGCTCTCTGGAAGAACTTCTGTCAAAAGGAGCAAAAGAATCTGAAGAAAAATGTGTTGAAACTGCAAATGAAGTAATTGCACCGGTGAGTGGTTTTCTTTATTAAATGTACACTTTATAACAGTTTTCAAATAATTATGATACTATAAAACCTTTCATTACTCAGAAGAAGGACGGTCGAGGATTTCACAGAACACTAACAGCGCTGTGCAAGAATCATGGATTCTACAGGTCTAAGACAGGAGCAACCGATCTGAATTCACACTTGGCTACACATATGTTACAGTACATTAATGAAGCATTCACTCACTTCTTCCCGTAAGTACTCAATTCAGTCAAATCTGAATTTGTGTAGTGCTTTTTAACTGAAGTTGCAAAATGGTGAGGTGCTGTTTTGCCAATGTGCAGGGCTTTACCATTTTTGATCACTCTAAAAATCATGATACATTTTTTTACATAAGTGGCATACAATCGTAAAATGAGCAAAAATGAGTCACTGAACGCTGACATTTCACTGGCTTCCTCTTGAAACTTGAATTGGGGTGTGTTTCGTGTAACTGATGTGTAAATTAGGCAGTGGTACCTGGTGTTTGATTTCATACACTGAAGCTGATTCATCACTTGCGCTCAAATGACTACAAAACTTTCATGAATCAATCACAGAGTAATTTGTACAACTTAAAGGCAGGCAAATCTGCACTCTTTTTATGCAACTCTGTGAGTAAGGGTCATTATATCTAAAAGTAGCCATTACAAATGAAATCAAGTCAATATAAATAAATATGTTTTTACTTGCTGTTTAAAATGGTTAATGGTAGGAGCCTAATGAATATCTATACATAAGGTGTTCCAGAGCTTTGGTGCATAGTGACAAAAAGCTTTCTCACCAAAGTTTTTGCACTTCTTCTTTTAACTTAATTTTACAGGCCAGTGCTTAATCTTAAAAGACAATTTAAAAAATCAGTGACTGATTAAAATCAGTTCTAAAAGAAATGGGCAGCCAGTGCAATGAAGCTAAAACAAGTGTGATATGTTCTCTCCTACATGTTGTACTCTAGCTGCAGCATTCTGAACAAGTTGCAGTTGGTCTATTGTGGTTTTGGTAATGCGATAAACAGTGCATTGCAGTAATCTAGGTGTGAAAAGACAAAAGCATGAGTCAATTTCTCAGCATCATGCAGTGTGAACAAAGGACTGACTTGTGCTAAACTTCACTGAATATTAGTTAAAAACTTCATCTTTGGATGGAGATACGTCAAAGACCCAATGATTTTGAGTAGGATTTAAAAGTTGGTCAATGGTAGAGAATAACACTATGGGATTGTTCACATTTTCATTTGTAATTTAATCCACTCAAACAGCTTTGTTAAAAATATGAGTGTTGTGTTTTTGAAAGTCATGCTGCACTGTTTTCCTCCAACTTCTTTCAGCTTTTTGGCAGTTTCTTTTGAACTGCTCGTTTCCATTGCACTATGATAGATTTAGACATCTTTAACTTCTCTGGTGGAAACAAGTCAAGAGTTGCCCTTAGTTTGAAGTGAAAACTACTAACTATTTCATGTATTTGTAAGGGCTCCCCAATAACTAAAACATTATCCAACTGTGAAGCTGTTGATGCCGGGGAAGATTTATACTGAGTGTTGGTGGTGAGTTTTGGCTGTGATGGTGAAAGAGACCTCAAGCTCTTTATTTGGTGCTGGCATTCCCATGCCCCATCAGCCATGGGGACAAATAAAATGATTCCTGGCTGCAGCTGTACCCATAGCCATGCCCCCGAATTTAGTGGTCCCTTACATGGTGTTGAGGTCACCAAGGCACCGGTGTTTCTGTCGCCTGTCGTGGACTACGTTTCATGTATCCACCCCCATGTCCAACCTCCATGAAGCTGGCACCCCATGTGGTCAGAAATGGACTAAAAATGTTATTCATTTGTGCTGTGTTTGTGCTGGTTTAAGAAATTAAACATTACATTTTATTGCCTGTGACATCACTCAGCCCCCCATCAACGTCCAAATCACACCAAAAGGGTCTCATTTGTTTGTGCTACGTTTGTGCTGGTTTGTGCCATTAAAAGAAATGTTTGTGCTCTTTTAATTATCAAGTTATAGGCTAAAAATATTTTTTTTAATAAGTGATGTCACGCAGCCCCCCATCAACATCCAAATCACATGAAAAGGGTCTCATTCGTTTGTGCTACGTTTGTGCCGTTAAAAGAAATGTTTGTGCTCTTTTAATTCTTAAGTTGTTGTATAAGGTTTTGTCACTAGTGATGACAACATCCAACATTTATGGCTTTATAACTGGAGAATTACAACAGCTGCAATGTTTATTTTAATAGCACAAACAAGCACAAAGGTAGCACAAATGAATGAGACCCTTTTCGTGTGATTTGGATGTTGATGGGGGGCTGCGTGACCTCACTTATTAAAAAAAATATTTTTAGCCTATACCTTGATAACTAAAAGAGCACAAACTAGAGCTGGGCTATATGGCCAAAAATGTTATTACGATAAACAAAATTCATATCGTTCGATATCGATACATACCGCGATAAATGTCAAGTCATTATTTCTTTCAAGTTTGAAGGCTGATTTTTGCTCCTGGGTGGTTAATTGCTGTTTTAAACTACCCTTTATGGTCGGAACACGACAAACACTCGCCAAACAGTGGAACATTTCACAAATCTGTCATGGGACTGTTGACTTCTGCTGTCAGGCGTTGGTTTTTTGAAGCAAACAGGAGTGGAGACTTGAGGAAAATGAAGTTTATTGAACGCGCGTCTTCCTAACCAAACAAGTCTAATGAAGCTTACACAGTGATGAAACTTATAGTCACAAAATGTAAACCACACCCTCAGTTGTCTCTTTGTCTCAACGAACCCCCGGAACGGACAACTGCCTGTACCTTTGTAATTAAAATAGAGGTGTTGAGGCCCACCCTAGGAACAAGGATGGGTCCAAGATATCACCATCAGCAAATGGCATTGCTAGATTGGGGGGCTATAGATGTGAGATAGGCTAACCATTGGGGGTCGTTAACTGACAAAGGACTGCTCTCCACAGCCCCCACACATCACCCAAGAGAAACATACAAAATGCAAACAAGATTAATACAAAAAGGCAAGGGAAAAAACAGGGAAAAGGTTTAAGAGAAGTTACAAAGTTAATAAGGAACAAATAAAGTAAAATGAAATAAAATAATATTTAACAGGACAGTGGGAGAAAGTGTCTGGTGAGCTGTTTTTACCAGCTGGAAAAGCATGGCTATTTTGTAATAGTCATAATTTAAGAAAGAAAACAGATTATTTTTAGCTGGTGACGAGCGCTCGGCTACCCCATTACAAATGACATCACAGTATTCAGACACCAGCTAGCGACGACTGGATTTCTCTATGCTATCGTAGTAGATTAAGTGGTGAACCACGATATATCAACACCAGACAGACAAAGTCCTCTTTTTAGGTACATTTAAACTGAAAGCGGTGCTTTTATGTCGTGTTTGATCTACAGTAACATCAATTCTCCGTGTTGTGGAGTGACGGAGCGTTGATGCAAGTTAGCCAGCTGCTAAAAACAGCTAGCCTGGAAAGCTAGCGCTCTCCCGCTCTCCAATGCCTCACAGCTTCCTCAGTTTACTTTCGTTTAAATCAGGGCTGTAATTTACATGAACCTACTTCTGTCTTTCACTTTCGTTGCTTGGGAATGCACTAATACTTAAATATGACTGTCCGAGCGCTGTAACAGTGCTTTAGTTGTGAGGATTGTGATTGTGATTTAACGCTGCTAAAGCTTGTTAGGATGTATGGAAAGAGATGAGTTTGCTGTAGGACAGTATAGTTACACCACTGACCTCGTCACTCACACTCGGTCACAGGAGAACAGATCGCCGGTCGCTCCACTCAAACGGGATGTATAACTCCGCATTTCAGCCGTTGCTAAAGACTCATCTTACTCGTGGCTCCCTCCCTCTCTAACCATGTAGAAAAACCCGGAAGTGTGCCCTCTCCTGGCGTCAGCAGAGTAGTGTCGCTTTCCTTGCAGTAGAAAACGTCACCAAGGCTTTCGCTAGAACGTGGAAGTGTGAGAATGGTGTGTTATATCGAACATTTATTGAACATGTCATATCGCTCTATCGAGGAAAAGTTGTATCGCAATAATTATCGTTATCGTTTTATCGCCCAGCCCTCGCACAAACATTTCTTTTAATGGCACAAACCAGCACAAACGAATGAGACCCTTTTGGTGCAATTTGGACGTTGATGGGGGCTGCATGACG